TGTTGGATCATTTTTTACCATTAACCATTTCCAATGAAACTTTTTTTTTTGTCAGTTCATCAGACTTGGCCAGCGACAAGTTGACGTTGAAATCTCCTGCGATAATTACAGGTCGATCATAACAGTCTACTTATCTTTATAATTCATATTCTTCATCTTCATTTCACCTTCATCTTCATCTTTATTCAAAACCATTTTTTTGATACCCATATTGGCATAAATACTTTATTTATTTTAACTGTGGCTCCGACACAGCTCGCAGGTCAAGACGAAGGCGCTGGACTGATCCTTTTTTATAAACGTAATGGCACGGGTATTTTTAATGCCCAACATTGTCTTAAAAAATGTGTTCGTTTAATACCTAGCGGAAATTCAACATAAGACACTGAAAAAGTACTGTGGCTGGCGTTTTTGTTACCATAATGATAGATGTATTTAGCTATAGTACACGTCGCATGCTGCATACTTCTTGTATTCATCGCGTTTCTATATACCAGCAATTGAAACAATGCACCTTTCCTAGGGAGTATAGATACTGAAATACCAGGTGTATGTACATAAATTATAGTCTTTATTCCATGCAATGGGGCTGTCAACGCGTGGGGAGGTCAATTTTACTATTTATTTACATAACATATTTTACATATTTTAAATTATATATGTATGTACGTGTGCATAATTACATAGAGATGCATAAATGACCAAAAAACGCAAACAATTAATTATTGTTTTTATTTTATTATCTTCTAGGTGGGCAATGGTACGGCGTTGACATAACCAAGGAGCACATTGCTGATAACTATGAGCAATGCGTCTGGGAGCCATCGATCATAAAGATAAACGCTTTAACCGCTGCTGCCGAGGCTGCTTGCATGATACTGTCCGTCGATGAGACAATCAAGAGCCCCAAAGCAGGGGAGGCACCCATGGCTGGCGGTATGGGCCGTGGAATGGGAAGGCCAATGTGAACATATTCTAACTAATTATTTTTTTTAAATTTAAATACATATGTGAAAACCGCATCGAAATCCATTACAAAAAAGCGGATGTTCTAAAAAAAACATTTCAAACAAAAAACTCTATATTGCATTCGGCCCTAATTGTATGTTGTCATGTGGTAACGGTATAACGCATTATGTACTCATGTTGCAAATAAACAATCCACTAGATAACACGCTTTTTCTTAATATTGATTGAACTTTTGTTTCAGTGAACTAATTCCATTAATTTTTCTTTTTTTTGTCATTGAATATAAAGAAAACACTTCCTAACATTTACTGTTAAACACAAAAGTATTTACATAGGTACGTAAAGCGCTTTAAATAAAAATGAAAATGTCAAAATAACAAAAATTCTTCTTAAATGTAAATGCTTTGGCTAGTTTATCCACCCGTGTAAAGGCAGCTTACATGCATATAGTAGCTTGTACTATGTATGTATACATATTTTCAATTATAAGATTGGCAGCTGACTACAAATATACAACTTAGCAGGTGATAGTTTAAACTCGACTTAACCCAGCCAAATTGGGCGTTTAAACTAGGTTTAAATTTGACTGAAAAACTGCACGCCGGGTTTAAACCTAGCTTAAACAACAAGCAGAGTTCAACTTGCACAGAAAGACTGGCCGTCAATGAGGTACAACCAAACTCGCTATCTTCCATCCTTCCTAGCTAACTTTGTTGTTGCTTTCACATGCAAAATTGTTCGCTAAGCGAGCGGGAGAAGTGTCCAATCGATGACGGCTTGTCTCATTCTGCCTCAGCTTCCCAAACACGCGCGCCATGCACTCCCTTTTCCTGTCGCCTTCTCGTTTCATCGAAGTTTGGAGTTACAGCCCAACGAGTGCTTCTTTTAACACACACTCGCACATACATATGTACATATTTGCGATTGGGAATATACCCTGCAAAAATCGCGACTACTCCATGCATGCATGTAAAGAGTACTCCCTAAGGGCCAAGGAGTGCTCCAAAATAAAAATTGTGGTCTAATTAACCTTGCGACGTCCTAGGGCAGGACTATATACTCCATCTCTGCATTACATCAGAGGAGCACAAAACTACTCCCAACATATTTTTTCGTTTGTACACGCTTTTATTCTTCACTTGACAGATGTTTTTTTTCGCAATTAATAAAAACCAAAAACAAAAATAAAAAACTACACATGTTCCCTCTGCCGGCATTCGGATCCGAACCTGCTGGAAGCTAACAAATAACAGCGAGCACCTCTACACGTTCAGCTACAGCCAGACATGCAAATGTGCTTTCAAATGCTCAACTTCAATCACATTTCGTTTAAACGCAAGCAATGATCGGGTAACAATAAGCTGGTACAAAGAGACGAGTTGGTCCGCTACAGCATGACCGAGGATCACTTTCGTAAGTACTCCAATATACCACAAATAGACTACATGGTCCAACGATTTTTGCACGGGTTGGATAAGGTAAATTTCTGCGACGCAATAACCAAAAACATGGTTCCATCACAACCCGCATTTTTGCGGTGCTCATGCATATATGTACATATGTACATACTAGGTATGTGCGCAGCCATGCAAACAAATGTATGTATATATATGTATTAGGGTGGTCCAAAATAAGTAAAGTCGGAATGTTAATGCTCTGACCCCCTAGGATTGTTCAATATCGAAAAAAATATAGGCCCCTTTTTTATTTTATTTTGAAATCAAAACATATTTTGAGGTCGCTGAAAGCGCTCAAAGTTTTCTAAGTATTTTATATGGGAAATAAACAACTTCTCGCAGAAATGGTATGGAATTCTTGAAAATCAATATTTTTCGATGGGACCAGAGCCTGGTTGTCTTCAAGAGACTTCCAATAACAATACCCAATTCTTTATTTAACCAATTTTTAATAATAAATATTTTTTATTTACCCCCTCTAATTTAATTTTCTGCATGTTTTGGCGGATCTATAAAATATAGTCACTATGAAAATGGTTAAATAAATAACTGGGCATTATTATTGGAAATCTTCCGAAGAGAGTTATCCATACCGTTTCTGCGTAAAGTCGTTTATTTTCCACATAAAATACTTG